TTTATACAAAATACGGAGTATAATTATTAATTATACTTGTATGATGTTTTAAAATAATTTATACAAAATACTATTTTATACAAAGTACGAAGTATAATTATTAATTCTGAACAAAGAAAGTACAACGCTCCATATTAAATCTGGTAGTGAATGAATTTGTGCATGATTCAGTCAATAACAAGCTAAGCTGTTTTTCTTTGTCTCTTTTTTTTGGTGCATAATATTGTGATAATTGTACTGAATATTCTCTGTGCTCCAAGGCGAAAGTGATTGTTACGTGATCAATATGTAATCCATAGCCATAATAAGCCTAAAAGCATAGTTGCTTATATTAAATAATTTTTTTTGACAACGTATATTAAATAATTAAATGATAGCAAGCAATCATATATGAAGTATTACTATTATACACTTTCAACCAATTAGCTAGCTAGCATCTTTACCTTGAAATTAATTAATTCACAAATCTCCTTTATTTGTCAAAAATTAATTTATTGTACTATGAACTTAAGAAGGGTCTCGTGATTTAGTTCATATCCTCGTGATTAATTAATTATAAATTAATTATTAGTAGTATAATTAGAATCTTCTTTGTTTGCTAAGGTGGCTACGTTTGGTAACACAAAATAAAATAGAGTCAAAACTGATAATAAGTAACTAAAATGAAATGAAAAAAGTAATAAGTGAAACTGATAAACTAATAATAAAATATCTGATATATTGAATGTAAATTTTTGTAGAATTAAATGCTGATGGAGGTTTATTTATTCTTATTATATACTCTATATGTAATTTTTCCAAATCTTTACATTAAAGGTTCGTTTGGCATTGCTATAATTTTCTGTTTTTTGGTTTTTTGTTATTCAAAATCATATGATATTTGTCATATAATGAATTAAAAATTAATCAAACATATTAAAATCATGATAATTTTGAAAACTGACAACAAGTAAATGGAAACACCTTTTTCTTATTTCTTGTTTTTAATTTTTTGTTAAAAAGAAAAAGGAAAAATGAAAACAAAAAATGATACCAAACAATTAAACTACTTAATTAACTTCTCATATCATCTTACCCTTCGTACTGTTTAACCTTGAAATTCATCCTTTTTGACTTTATTTTTATCCACTTCTATTTTATTCCATTTTCTACACTCACTTTTTAGCAAAATTTATCAACAATATAACTTTGACTATGGCAAAGGAACATTGATGACATATTCTTGATTAATTATGTTTAGTGCATAAACCTTCCACATATAAAAGCATGTTCAACCTACATCCAAAATACACTCAACAACACATACTAAAAAACAGGCTAGTAAATAACTAATAAGCTATCTATTGATCCACATTCACCCAACAAGGTGCAATCTGCATCAGTCCATCCCTATCTTTTGAGGCATTAAATCCTCCTATTACATCACCTTTCATGTTTTTGCAAATCAAATCAACTCTCTATTCTGAATTCCTTCTTTTTTCAAAAAGTTTTGTTCATATGGCTTGATTTTCATTTCTCATACTAGATTACACATCATCATCAAGAAAAATAAAGGTCCAAAACCCATTTATTTCCCAACATTGTACGACCTTCACTTTGTAGATAAGGTACCATGCATTTGCACTTTTACATAGTTCACATACTCCTCTTTAACTATATAAAAGGAAAATCATAGTCTATCATGTGAAATTTTGTTATATTATTCTCAGTATATATTTTCAAATTTTTGTTTATTGATAATAAAACAATTAAAATTATGTAAGGGTGAAATGTGAATCATGAAACTCAACATTGATCTAACGACATTTATGAAACGAAAGAAGTATAAATATGACTGTTGTATTGAAAACTAAAATCCTACACTACAAGAAAAATATCTTTTCGTAGCGATTATATTAACATTTCGTATCGATTGTAATAGCTGCAAAAAAAAAAAATCCCAACGAATGGTTACTCGATACAATATCCGCCGTTACTATAGCCTTTAGTAGTGTTTTTCTCTTTCGCTTGGGTTGTCCTCATTAATCGATACAAAAATTTACATTCAATCATGGTGATTATTGTAGCGATTATAACCGCTACAAATGTTGAACTCATTTTTACAAAAAAATTAAAAAAAAATCCTTACATATGGTCTACACAAGATTCGAACATGCAACCTCAAGCTCTAATATTAAATGTTTTTCCGATAAGCTATGACATATTTTATGATTCTCTTTGCCAAACAAATTTTCTAAAATCTAGTGTAAAAAAGGCCTTTTGTATCGATTTTTGGGTTTCAGTGACGATTGTAAATGATACGTTTTTCCATAATTTTATAAATGTGCAGAAAAAGGTGAATAATTATTATTATGTTTTTCGTATCAATTTCATATGGGTTTACTATGTCGATTATAAAATAATACGGATTCCTCTACTATTTCACAAACATATATGCATATTGTAACGAATGTACAATCGTTACGAAATAATCCCTATGAAAAGACAATTTTCATATAATGCTACTCGTAGTTACTATTTTACTAATAGAAATTGGCCGGAAAGGAACCTGACCCTAAAATTCCAAACCTAAAAAACATAATAATGTTTTTTATTTTTATTTTTATTTTTTTTTACACATACTCCGTATCTTATAAATGAAGTAGGGTGAGTAATTAATTAGACACCACCATTATATTATAAGTATAATACACCAACCACCTAATAACTTAAAGAGAAGAAACAAAAATTTGGAAAAAGGAATAGATGTTAGAGATGATATAAAATGGGCCCTTTATAAATTAAAATAAAGAAACCAATAATTCAAAATCCTGTAGTTACCACTTATACGTGTAACACTATCATGTGCCACTATTTAATTGACGTGTTTGTTGTGACCATTAATAGTGAAATTCAGCAGCCATTTAATTTAACGCTCTCTTAACACTTTATTTACATATTTTCTGTGATATAATTATAATACTCCTAGCTGTCTACCACTCTAATATTGTCGGTCTCATTTTATGGTAGCCAAGTAAATAAGCAATGACATAAAAATCAACATTAATTAGCTTCACTTAGATTTTTTTTATTGTTTTTATTAAATTAAATTTATGGAGTACATACAATTAAAATGGTGTACGGAAAGGTAATTAATTAATCTAATAGGAGTAATAGTTAATTTGGGTTGTTGCTTAAGAGGTGGTATGAAGTAACATTAGGTGTATTAATTTAATTATTTCCTCCATTTTTTCCGATAGTTTGGAGTTTATTGAAAAATAATCATTCAAGTAGTTAGTCTAGGTTGTTAGTTACATATGAGATTGGATATTTGCCTATATTTATACCTTCACAAACTCGGATTGGAAATATTGACGCATACTCTGCAGTATAGGTGACTATTTAGTCCCGCCATCAACTTTAGTTTCAAAATTAATAGGAATTGACGGTGAAAATTATTAAATCGGAGTATGGTGGAGTTAAAGAACATCACCTATTCGATGGAATGGTATTGAACAATTATTGTTTGTATTATTGTCGTCGTCATTGTTGGTTCATAACAGGTACGAAGGGCTATGTTACAAATTGACATCGATCAAACTCTAAAACTTTGAGAAAATGATAAGATCCTTGGCTCATTAATTGTTGTAGTGCCATATGGAGTAAATTTTAATCAAAAGTGAAATTGTAAAGTTTAGTTAAAAAAATGTAAGATCAATTCAAAGTTTTGGAAATTGATGTGTTCCAACAAAATTAACTAAGCTACCAAACTTGTCCCCCTAACACCTGAAGTTCTATATTCTAAAAGAGATCAAACATATGCTAAAAAATGAAATTACATGCATCGACCGAGAATGAAAAGACAAAATCACCCCTAAGAAAATAGAACAATCATAAACTCAAATTGATTTTTAACAAAAGATAGAGTTTCGAGGGAAGGGTAACTTAGTAATTTAAATCCGCATTTATTATATCTCCCTACCCATTACAATTATATATATTTGTGCATGTTATTAGCAACTTAGTTTTTGACAGACATAACAGTTCTATAAAATGAACCTCCACATAAATTTTATTGCATTTTTTTCTTTCAATATTTTTTTTTTTTTTTTACTTTCCAGATTTTAGTTACTATTATTTCATACGGAGTAATGTACTTTCACATGGTTAAATTCAATCAAATGTACGTGAGTGAAAGATTTGGAAAAAACCGTAAAATGATCCTCATTTTAATACTATACCAATATTAATGAAGCAACAGAAGTATATACTTCTTGCTATTCATTTATTCAATACAAATGCAATAATATGGTACAAGTACTCTGCATCTATTAAAATCATAACAAACTAACACCTTTATATGTAAGCTACTTTCTTCATTACCTTATGTACACTATTGGAAAATTAATAGTGCATTGTAATAACAACATGTTGTCCTTACCTTTCATGCTTTGGTCAAAATGTATAGCAAAAGAGGGATGGATGGTAGGAGAATGGAGATAATTAATAAATGATCGTGTCAACCCATATCTAACCTACTTAGTCAGGCCATTGCTAGCTATTACTCACTCTGTTTTTATATTTTTGTCTGTTTTAAAATATGTAACTTAACAAACCTTAAGTCTTTGATATTGAAATAATCAAATATATATCTCGAGTTTAGGCCGGCCGTCGGGTAACATAATGTAAATTTTTAAGCTGCTATGAGAAAAGAAATGTTAGGTTATTGTTATAATAATATATAGAAATTATAATGTGTCACAAATTGCATTATGAAATATAACTAATTACATACATACACACACTAAACTATTGAGCAGTTGAGACTTGGTAAACTCCGTATTCAAAAAAACTCATCGATAATCACATTCACTAAAAATTTTCCCTGGAAAAATGGTGGGAAGGGAAAACTTTTATAAAATAAAAGAAAAAACAAGTATCTCTATTTAATTCCCTAAATATATATCTGCCATCACTTAAAGGCAATTTAAGGGGGAGGGAAGAACATGTCTCTCTCTCTCTTTTTTTTTTTTTTTTTTTTTTTAGAAAAAAATAAAAATTATAAGGAAAAAAATATGGTTTTGCATTTAATGATGCCATAACAAAGCGTCAAAAGAGGTATTATAGCTCAAACCTTGTTCCCCAAAATACCCCTCAGTAGCACTTGTATTTCCATTATTTACCCAGCATTGAAGCAGTGGATCCGAGTCGCAGTACTCATACATTAACCACGTTCTGTCCACGAACTCGGCCAAGTCGAACCCGGACTCGTCTTCCAAAGTTGGAAGCTCTACTATTTCTCCTAGTAGTTGTTCTTCGTCTCCTGACACGGCCGTGGAGTCTGAGGACAATGCGGTTGTTGATGAGGATGTGGAAGGCGAGGCTGGTGCCACATCCGTAGTAGCAGCACTGCTGCTATTCGTTGCATGCTCCTGGGTGGTGGCACCAGCGGGAGCAGCAGCAGTGCTGCTACTACTGCTGCTAAAACTGCCATTGTCTTCGGTTGTTGTTGTGGTGGTGGCGGTTGTTGTGAAGTTGAACTCAAGAGCGGCTGCTTTGGCAGCTGCGAGCTGGACATCACGAGGAGAGTTGGAGAGAGGGCGGGGGAGAGAAGGAGCAAGATCAGGGAAGTTAAGCACAGCAGAAGAACCCTTGATACTCAAGGCGGCCACGTCATGTGCACGAGCCGCCATCTCAGGGGATGAGAAAGTCCCGAGCCAAATCCGAGACTTCTTTCGAGGTTCTCGGATCTCGGAAACCCATTTTCCCCAAGCTCTCCTACGAACACCCCGGTACACGGGGTGTTTCGTATCCCTCTGTCTCCTCTTACTATTACTCCCACTACTACTATTATTGCTTTCTTTTTCATCCACATTTATCGCCATCGCCTCATCGTTATACGTGGATGAGGTGTCCGATGAGTTCTCTTGGTATGTATTTTGATCATATTTTGGTGCCATTTGAATTATTATAAACAACAGATTAATATCGAGTGATCGAGAGATATAAATACAAGCCAAGGAGGAAGAGAGAGAATAAAGTTAGTAGAGGTTTTTGGGGGGAGAAGGGATTTATATAGGGAGGGAAAAGAGTGAAGAGTATGGACAAAGACACGAGGTTTACGCCTATAGAGGTGAGGCGGGGCGTGTGGGATACAGGACTTGGAGGGAAATAAGGGGAATATCTAGTTACTTGATTAGTGTTAATTAATATTAATTATTCTTCGTGTTAGTATTCTAATCATGCTTTGAATCTACAAAGTCAAGCTCTAAATTTTCATTAATTAAAAATTATTATGTGATTGTATAATGTAGAATCTCTTTGCCGTGTATGTATATGTTATTGTTTTTTATCATATAGTGTGATCTTTGTATTATTTTATTGATTGATAATAATATACTCGTTTTTTGATGCTATATACTCTCTGCCCCCTCTTTCATATTCCGTAGTTGACCTTCTGTATCGGACGCAGGTAAAAGTTAAGATTTGTAAAAAATTTGACTCATGATATTACCTAGGAATCAAAGATTGAGGCTTGATTACAAGAATAATATGTGCTACAATATTTATTTGATTATAGATGTGGTATGAAAAATTAGATATTTTGCTTCAACGTGTTTTAGTGATTCGATCAAAGCATTTTTAGAAAATTTCGACTAGTTGTTAATGTTATTTGTACAAATAGATATCTTAATACTCCGTACTTCATAATCCGTGTTAAGATAATACATTTAGAAAAATGTACTTCAATTTTGATGATTCTTCAATACCTTTTTTATGATTAATGTCTTAATATGATTGAGTTGAAAAATTAAAAAATCAATTTTCTAATGGTTGAAAAAATTTCCTTTATTTGCTGGAAATAAGTACAACCTCTTACTTTTTATGGAAAATCAGGGAACAATAGTAAGATTCAGTCCAAATAGAAGAAAATAAAAAACAAGAAAAACACACTTAATTACAATTAAAATTGTAGGAGAGATTAGGTGCCGCCGGCCTGTTGTTTGTAAGGAAAGAGATGTGCACTTTCAATGGAACACCTTATGATACACCCAAAGCAATGTTTATTTAATTGCTAAATAATAAATTTGACAAAAAGAACTTAGAAATGGCCCTTTTTTTTTTTTTTTTTTTTTTCCCTTCTTTATTACCCGGTGTTGTAGAAATTATTTCCTCCGTTTATATAACACATTTTGATTTTTTTTACGTAATTTACTTTGACTAATTTTTGTGATTTATATTTATAAAAAAACATATTCATGTGAGATTTTATTTAAATTGTATTATTATATATTTTAATAATACCAACTGTGTACAATTTTTACATAATTATAGTTAGACGTACAAACCGCGGAATTTGTGCATGATACGGAGTAAAAGAAACCTGTCAACTATAAAAACATGGGAAAGTATGTTTAATTTTGCTTAACATTAGTGGAGGAGCACACAAATTAAGATGTACCATGAGTAAATAGTAAGTGACCTTATAATTAGCAATTTAGCAGTAAGTTTATGTTTAATTTTATTATTATTCATTTTATATTTATTTTTATTGTACGGATTGGGCCGGTGGGTACCCTACTAAATTGTGGACTGAGCTGTGGAGGGTCCCTAATAGAAGCTGAAAATGAGTACCCCAAGAATGTGAGAGAAGCTTCATGCTTACAGCTGGCACAGGTTTTTTATTTCCTTTTTTTTTCTCATAATTTTTACAGTCAATAAAAAAATATTTTATTTTATTTTACAACCTTTTTTTTTTCTATGATTTAAAAAAGTTTTGGTAATTTTGGTTTTTGTTTTTTAGTAGTGATGGTTATAGGCCCATCTTGTCTAGATGGGTCGGACTTAGTATTGGGCCTAATTGATTCGACAAATGAATTAAATTTTGATTTGTATCAATCATTTGTCAAGAAAAGTTTATGGTTGCAGCTTTGTGGGCCTCGCTTAATGGTAATTAACTAATTAAATGATTTGAGATTAACTTTTTAATTGGATTATAATTTTTAATTATTTAGTGTTATTTAGACTTCAGTTGTATTGCAAATTTAGATTTTGTAAAGGATGGTTATAAGCATTGAATAACTTTTAACAAATGAATTCACCCCTTTTTATTCCATTAAAAAAAAGACTACAGGTAGTTTGCTCGGTTTTTGGTTATTTTAGATCGGACAATGTTACATGAAATAGATATATATATAGTTAAGAAAGGTTCAGGACTTTCTGCTATGTTGTGAACACATGTAATTCCAAAGACGGATCCAGGGGGTGGCCAACCCAGGCCACGGCCCGCCGCATGATCCAAAACACGTATAAGAACTTTAAGCTGCATTATAACAACAGAAAAGGTAGTTCGGCCGATTTGGTTATACCTCATATCTCATAATTTGCAGGTCAAGAGTTCAAAACCCGTTAAGCCCATTTATTATTTTTTTACTAATTATTATTATCTTTCTTTCTTATTCTTTGTCATAAAAATCAAAAGTTAAATCAATCTAAGTTAATTTATGAATAAGCTTTAGAAATTTGGCCCCGTCTACATAAAATTCCTAGATCTGTCTTTGTGTAATTCATTTATATGTGAAGATTTCAACTTGGCTTAGTGTTGATTTTACTTGAGTTTGCTTTCCTAATATAAATCTAGGTTATAGGTACAAATGTAACTGTGTCAGTATTGCTAAGGGGGGTATAACAAGTGTAAAGGCTTGATTATGGGTAGATAAAATTGGAAATGGTACATGCTATAGATCACTTATTATAACAAGTGTAAAGGCTTGACCTATGGGCAGATTTCATTATTAATATTATTATTAATTTATTATTATGTATTAAGTATTATTATTATAAAATATTAATTATTATTATTATTAAATATTAATATTATTATCTATAAATATTAGTTATTATTATTATTAAATAATAATAATAATAATTATTATTATTATTATTAATTAATTTATTATTATTATTATTAATTATTATTTTTAAGCAAAGTAGAGCAGATTTCAGCAGAGCAGAACAAAGTAGAACAGCTCAAAAGAATAGGGCTTTGTCGTTTCCTTAGTTTCCAATACTTGTATATCAAATTTCATGAACGGTTTGGTTTGCTAAAGAAGAATCTATTGTGCTCTATTTTTTTCATCTTATTTTAGAGAAAGTAAGTTTAAATAGGATCAATGAGTTTATATAAGATCAAGACTTTAAGGTTAGCCAAGTGTAATTCTTAATGATGAAAGTTTGGAAATTTTAAGTTCAAGACCAACAAGTTTATATCATATACTCAAATTCGAGGTTAATATGTTTAGACAAGTAACATAAGTTCAGATAAGTGCAATTCTAGTGAACTAAACTCACCATGATCAATACGTTAGTTCATAAACTTAGTATTACGTTCACACATGATGTGTGAGTTCATGAACTTGTATTAAGTGGGCACATAGTGATGTAAGCACTTGTTGAAATTCACTAAGATGTCCAAGTTAGTGTATAGTCTATGACATACAGAACATTTGAAAACAATGCAAAAGTACAAAGTGAACCTTCAAATCTGATTCACCTTGTTCGGAATGAGGTGAAAATTTAAAAGAGAAGAAAAAACTTTCCAATTGACAATAAGTGGTACATATTCTGCTAGTACTGTCTATTTAGGTTTGACTAATGGTACTTTTAATGTTGGACAATCAAGTGAAAACAATATCTATATACCGAAGAAGAAATTAAGCATGTGTTGAATACAAAGTACAAGTATATGTTATAATAAGGTGCTTAAATTTATTTCCTTAAAAAAAAAAAAAAAAAAAAAGTGCTTAAATTGATTATATGTATAAATGCGTCTTATTTACTTCATACAGTATCTATCTACTTATGTACCGTTAAATACTTCATGAAATGAAACACAAAAGTCAATAGAACAAAAAAAAACCAATATTTGATTATATTTTTGTATAGGATCAGATCCAATGGATTATCAGTTAAAATATAAATTCACATTGCACCTTTCTTCCCTCAGCTCAATCTTTATGAGAATTGATCGTGGAGCCTAGCTAGATCTTTGAAGATGTAGTAGTTGATTTTCTTGATTTCTCATTAAAATATGTGTAATTAAGGCACAATTGAGAAGATGACCAAGAGTTTTTATTTATATTATGTTTGCAGTTTGCACGTATGGACGTATGGTAGGTCCAAAATCACATCGTACAATTAAAAATCAGTACTACTTGTGACCCTTTAAGTACTATTATTAACATACATAATTTTTTTTTATTATTTATTTATTTATTTATTTATTATTATTATTATTTTTTTTTTTTCTTTTTTTTTTTTTTTTTTTTTTTTTTGTGGTTGATATTATACAAAGCGATGTATTACCATCTCCCTATAAAGAATTATCCACCGTCGTACGATCTAATCGTAATAAACATCAATAATTTCTATTTTAATTTGAGTTTGAATGCGTAAAATACGTACTAAAGGAGCAAATAATTTACGTAGTACTTTACATTTTCATAGATAAATTAATTTTAACAGTAGATTTTACACGATAATATTTGCTTAGGTTATAGCCACTTAAAGATAAAGGATATGTGGGTTTCCAAAAAACCAAAAAAAAAAAAAAAAGGATATATGGGTAAAATTTATACTTCGTATATTGTTATAATGAAGTTATTTAATGTAAAGTTATGTTAGAAATGTATAAACATGACTTGTATGGAGAAAGCACGAAGCATGCACACACATCACACACAACATGTGCTGCTCGGCGTATTTATGTCATGTTCTTGTATGAAATTTTCATTTGGAGTAATTTTTTGTTTTTCCTATTTATCTTTTTACACAGTTTTCAATACACATATTTGCAGATTAGTATCTTCATCAATTACCTATCATAAAAAAAAATGTTAAATATAGCCCTTAGGGCTACATATAAGGAGCTAAAAAATGAAAAAAAAATGAAAATATAACATTAAGTACACTGATTTACGCGTGACTTTGTCATGCTTTTCTAAATTAATACTAAATAAGGAAAGTAATTAAATGCTTGTTCATAGCCCTAAGGGATACACAACAGTGCTAATCGAGCGAGTCGATCACGAGCTAAGGGGTGTTTATGAAAATTATCAGTTTCAAGTATATTACGTATATCTATAACAGTCTTGTGATAAATTCATATGAAAAAAGCAAAAAAAAAAAAAAAAAAATTTGATTTTTTTGGGCAATTTTGGCACCGGTTAACCGGTGCCAAATTAAAAGTAGTGAATTATATTTTTTCTTAGAAAAAGGGTACCTATTATTAGCACCGGTTAACTAATTGAAACATTAGTTTAGGGTGTTTGTGGTAAGT